GAAAGTCTCATCTTTCTTCTATAGAGTGGCTGGCGGTTTCAAACTACTGACCCTGCTGCTAGTAGCCCAACATGCAACCCAGGGCATCATGAAGAAGCCAGCAAATTTCCAAATTGCCAGATCAGATGAGTCAGATGCAGGATTGAAAGAGGGTGAGTTTTGCCAGAACATTCATATTGATGGGATGCAGGATACACCCTAGAACAAACTCCTTTCCCAACTAATTAGCTACTCACCAAACGGAAGATGATTACATGGTATCTGTCAAACCATCTAGAATCATAGCCTTGCCAAGTTGATACAGATCCTTAATCCTCACAGACACCAAACCGACAGTGGTGACTGGGATGGTTGGATGGGATGGTTACGTGGCCAGGAGTTTAAGACAATGGTAATGGAATAACATGGGAAGGGAGAGCAAGAATGGTAGCACAGTTTGAAGTGTGACCAATGCCACTGAACTGCACAAAGAGGAACTGTTAAAACAGGACAGCTAACTGTGAGGTTAGCAGTTTGAACCCACAGGAGAAAGATGAGGGTTTCCACTTCTCTAAAGAGTTACAGTCTTGAAACCCCTAGAGACTGGTCTACCCTGTCTTGGAGGGTTGCTATGAGTCAGTATCAGTTGAATGGCAGTGGGTTTTAGACTTTGACCAATGACAAAAAGCCTTTCTAAATGAATGTGATAAAATGATGCTGAACAAAGTTAAGGAAAAAATCCCACTTTGCATCTTTGCATTCCTTGCTGTGCCCTTTACTTTTAAAGGCAACAATGAAACTATTAAGGGGCGGTCAGAGTCGCTGACGTTACGGAACTGTTAAAGGCACTGCCCAGAGTCAGGCACAGCAGTGAACGTGGGTTTATGTAAAACAGTCTCTGTGGCTGTGTGTCCATCCGTTTCCAAGGGAAAGAACAACAGAAGCCATGGGGGGAGGAAGACAGTGGTCCGTGTGAGGCATGGAAAAAAGGTATAATCTATCAAGGGGTCATGACTGTGGGGGAGGACGGTGGGGGGTGGGGAAGAGGAGCTGATACCAAGGGTTCAATAGAAAGTAACTGTCTAGAAAAGAATAATAGCAACATATGTACAAATATGCCTGATACAATTGATGTTTGGATTGTAATAAGCATCGTAAGAGCTCTCAATAAAGTGATTTTTTTTTTAAAGTCTCGGATGCCATCTCACAAATTGCATTACACAGAGGGGCTATGAATGGCAGCCATACTACCTGCGGATCAACAACTCTGTTCAGTCTTTCTGCAGGACCAGGGGCATTCTTGGAAGCAAGTATTTCACCTGGCCACTTTCTGAGCTATCTGTCAGATGAAATGACTCACAGCGAAGCTAGTAGCCGCTGATAGGAAAACAAAAAGAAAACTTAGCGACAGGTTTCAAATTTGTGGCTGGAGAACAGTTAGACTTGCAGATAGCATTGTGTTGTCTCACATTTTTGTTCTGCACTACATTGGAAAATGGTTTGAATTGATGCCAATGTTGAAAGAAGAAAAAAAAAAGGGAAAAACAACTGTACACTCTAAATGAGAACCACCGTCTGGAGCCACGTAGGTACCTCCTTTTTAGACAGAAGTTGTTCTTTTTCCTGTTTGCCATAGTCTACAGCACATTCTAGTTTGGTATTTCCCCAAACCGTCCCCTGCGGGAATGCTGGAAACATCTGGTGGGGCTGCCAAAACAGATACCTACACCTTATTCTGAACACGAGCTATATAGCACAGACATGTTTAATTGCCAAGGGTTACTGAGTAATATTTTTCCTCCTAAGATGAGGGAGGTAGGCCAAATAAGTTTGGGAACTTCTGCTTATCTCTTCTCATTGACCAGGGCCATGTCTTCCGCTCATTTGAATTTGTGACTCCTGAGTCAGATGTTGCCTAAGCATGGGGGAGGACTTGATTTCCTCTTGCATGGTCTAGATTTTTACCTTAAGAAGTCCTTAGGGCTCCAAGAAAGTCAGCAATAGGAAGGTTAGTTCAATGTATTTGAGGTAAAACACTATCTTTTAGTAAAAATATTCTTTATAGACCTCATGTTAGAACACTTATTTTATTTTGAAATGTGTTCTAGTTGGAGCCTCATTTAAATAACAGTGGCTTTATGCTATTGGTTTGCTAGTGTCTAACCCTGCGACGAGAAACAATAGTAACTACAGCCTGTCTATGGAACCTGATGGAACAGCACAACATTAAGTGTAGCAGTAATTACAAAACTACTGAACAATTTACGGACTTTGCCTGCTCTTACCATCACTTCCAAATATAGGCCAGGGTGCAAAGTCAAATGGTGTGTAGTTGAGTTAGTAGTATCATATGATGCTATGTTTGCATGGGGCAGTCCTAGTTCAGCAAACAGAGGAAACAGGTAACAGACTATGTCCATAGTGGGGGGGGGGGGGCGGGGAATAGTGTAGAAAAATGTCAGGCTACGTTATTTTCTAGCAACTATTTATTGGAAGTTGTCCATCATTTGGGGGTTTCAGGCAATGCCCAGTGATATTTGCATGGTCTTCCTTGGTTATTGTTGGGTATCAACTCAATGATTTTAAATGTTTCAGAAACCAAAACCCAAGCCAGTTGGCTGTGGAGTGGATTTCAGTTCATGGTGTGATCTTTCAGAAGTCGATTGTGAGGCCTTCATTCTGAGGTACTTAAAAAAAAATCATTTTATTGGGGGCTCGTACAACTCTTATCACAATCCATACATAGATCTATTGTGTCAAGCACACTTGTTGCCATCATCATTCTCAAAACACTTGCTTTCTACGTGAGCCTTTATCAGCTCATTCCCCCCCCCTGCTTCCCACTCCATGAACCCTTGATAATTTATAAATTATTACTATTTTGTAATCTCTTACACTCTCCAATGTCTCCCTTCACCCACTTTTCTGTTGTCCATCCCCCAAGGAGGAGGTTATATGTAAATCCCTATAATCAGTTCCCCCTTCCAACCCCACCCTCCCTTCACCCTCCCAGTATCGCCACTCTCACCACTGGTCCTGAAGGGATCATCTGTCCTGGATTCCCTGTTTCCAGTTCCTATCTGTGCCAGTGTACATCTTCTGGTCTAGCCAAATTTGTAAGGTAAAATTGGGATCATGATAGTCGGGGGAGGGGGGGGAAGCATTTAAGAACTAGAGGAAAGTTATATTTTCATTGTTGCGACCCTGCACCCTGACTGACTTGTCTCCTCCCTGCGACCCTTCTGTAAGGGGGTGTCCAGTTGCCTGCCGATGGGTTTTGAGTCTCCACTCTGCAGGCACCCTCATTTACAATGATATGTTTTTTTTGTTCTTTGATGTCTGATACCTGATTCCTTCGACACCTGAAGCCACACAGGCTGGTGTGCTTTCTTCTATGTGGGCTTTGTTACTTCTGAGGTAGATGACTGCTTGTTTATCTTCAAGCCTTTAAGACCCTAGGCACTGTATCTTTTGATAGCCAGGCACCATCAGCTTTCTTCACCACATTTGCTTATGTACACATTTATCTTCAGTGCTTATATTGGGAAGGTGGGCAACCACTGATATTTTTTGTTCTTTGATGCTTGATACCTGGTCCCTTCTACACCTCATGATCACACAGGCTGGTGTGCTTCTTCCATGTGGGCTTTGTTTCTTCTGAGCTAGATGGCTGCTTGTTTACCTGCAAGCTTTTAAGACCCCAGATTCTATATCTTTTGATAGCCGGGCACTATCAGCTTTCTTCACCACATTTGCTATGCACACATTTGTCTTCAATGATTGTGTTGGGAAGTTGTGCATCATGGAATGCCAATTTAATAGAACAAAGTATTCTTGCATTGAGCAAGTACTTGAGTGGAGGTCCAATGTCCATCTGCTGCCTTAATACTAAACCTATAAATATATGCACATAGATCTATTTCCCCACCATCCTATATAAATATATTTAAATATGTACATGCCTGACCTCTATAAATGCCTTGTGTCCTAGTTCTTTCTTCTATTTACTTTTACTTTCCTCTTGTCCCACTATCATGCTCAGCCCTCATTTGGGTTTGTCATTCCTCTCAGTTACATTGCCCTTGCTGAATCCCTACCAGGTCTGAGGCACTTCTGGGTGGACTCAAGTGGCCAACTTTTGTTTGTAGCTGAATGCTGACATGTATGTGCCAGGTGAACCCTTCAGCAGAAGAAAATTCCTCACACACCCCTACAGCCAGCTGGTAAGTTTGGTTTTCCTTAAAGAATTGGCCATTGGTATTATCTGACTACACAACTCGGGGCCAAATGCTACAAGGAAGAGATCCATTCTCCCTTGCAAGAGCACTGACAGCTGGACCCCCCTCCCACCCCCTGCAAATCAATGGACTACAGAATGGATTTGAGTATTTTATTTATAAATGTACATTTACTATAAAAGCTGTTGCATTTTAGACAACGTTTTTCCATTTGTTTTATTTACTAGTTCTCAGAGGCATTTTGGAATAAATATTGTAGATGAAGGTTAGTTTAACTGATAGAGAACATTGGCCACCCATTCCAGTAACATCTTTGGGACGGACTCCCACAGGAGGTGGATCCTTTCCTTCTGTTCAATCTGACATGGTGTCTAGAAACTGTAGTAGATGCTGCATTAGTAACACTACATAGAATCAGGAAGCATCATCAACGCTTGAAAATGAACAACAACAGAAAGCATTCCCCAAGTTTCCTTAAGAAAGAGAAGGGAGTAGGATTTGGAGGACGAGGGGAACAGATACATTTCCACAGGAACAGCAAAACCACTCCCTTGCTTCCTCCTTTGGCTCTTCTTTTTGGAAAACAAACACATTTACACGACAGCCCAACAGAAAGCAGGCGCGCATGCCCTCCTCCCCGCTGGGTTCTCAGAGATGATTTGAAAAGAAATAGATCATACTCATTATGCTGCATCGGGCAAAACAATATCTAGTCTGCCGAAGCTGCCATGTAACAGACTCCAAATGAAATACAAATCAAATAGAAATAGAAACAGTTGGCAATTAGAATTTAGAAAATGTTGGAGATTATTCTGTGCTGGTGACTAGTGTTCACTATGGAAGAGTACATTTTGCAGTGGGAGAATGGGGCTTTATTCCTCTTGACTCGAGTCTAGCTTCAATACATGTACAATGACTCTAAGAAATATGTATAAATGGGTTTGTGAAACCAGAAGAGAATGTGCAATATTCATGTAGTTCCTTACATAATACATGGGGCTCCACATGTAAAAAGTCTTCTATAAAAATCGGTTATGAATGAGCACATTGTACAGGTTTTGCGCAGTGTTCGTGGTAAGGGGCTTGCTATAGTGCATCATGCAAAGTGTAAACATCCACAGTATCAAAACGTTTAATAAAACATGCAGGTGGTTAATCAAAATAGCAGATTGAATCTGTACATTTTTGTTCAAAACCTGTGTCCTGTTTTCCCTCGCTATGTCATTTTTCTTTCTTTCCGCGAAACTGCCAAGGCCCCCGTGAGAAGTCTTGGGAGTTTGGAAGTGACTTCATCTCTCTCCAGTGTCCCGTATCCATAATTCATCCGCGACCATGTGCAACGGCTCTGCATGGTCTAAGGCACAATTTGTAATGAAGTGCTGTAGAAATGTCACACTAACAACAGCTCGCCCAAGTGACAACAGGGTCGAGAGATCTCCAGCGGCTCAGGAACCCACTTCTACGGAGCCCACATGCCAAGAGCCATCTAGCATGGAAATAAATAACTGCTAGCTAGCCTAAGGAAATTATTGCTTACATCGCAGAAGAAAACAGCCACTGGATCTTCTTGCGGGACTAGGTAGAACGATCAGGACTGTCCCATAGTCCATGTCCACCTCGTGTCACCTTTGCCTATTGCCATTGTTTTTAAGGCAGAATAAAGAATTTCCTCTTTCTGCGGTCTTAAAGGACACCGCCTGGAGATCTAGAGTGTGAATGGTTTTTAGTGACCTGACCCCTTTCTTGCTCGCTGGGGCGCATCACGCAGGGCCAGAGACGCAGCCAGCTCTTGATAAGAGTCCCTGTCCAAGCCGCTCCGCCCGCGGCGGCGGTCCTTGAGGACGAAGAAAGGTGGTGACAAGGAGAATGAGCAGAGCATGTGCCCATTAGAATTGGGGAGGGGGAGGCGCACACTCGGAGTGGCAGGTCCTTGTTGCTCACACACCAATGGCTTTTCATATCGCTAAGTCATTTGGACTCCATTGGGATGGACTTACTGCTTTCAGGTAGACCCTGGAGCGTCAGAGCACCCAGGAGAACTCGCAGGCCAGGTCAGGAGTGACCACCCTGCTGTGACTCCGTACGACTGAGACTTTCCATGGTCTCTTACGGAGGACCCCTGATTCAGTGCCTGAAGAGAAGCACGTCACACAGACCTCGTGGCGATGCTCGCCACTCCTTTGAAGGGGAACCCCCTCCCCAGTTTGGTACTCACTTTGGAAATGGTGACTGGAGCGTTTCCCTCTGCTGGTTCCTACCCTTGGGCAATGTCCCGGAGTGTCGGTCCAGCAGATACTACGAAGTTGCTCTTTATATGCTAGCACAGCTATAGTAAGGACATAACGTCCAAGGTACACAAAATCTAATACTAATGGTGCAATAATTTATTGGTATAACTTCTACCCACAAATGTTTCGGGATTACAGTCTCTATGCTCAGACTAGGGTCTTTGCTAAAAACAACAGCAACAACACACACCCCCGTAGCTCCGGGAGCTTGCGTGCTGTGAGGTTTCGTTTGTGAAGCGCATTCATCTTCGGCTCCTAGCTCAGGCGACCACAAGTCTCGAGTTGGCATGTCTTGCACTTGGTGCAGCTCAATTCTGTAAACGGAAAATCTTTAATTCCTAGAACTATGAACACCAAATAGGTTTCTTGCATCGTTGACCTCATTTAGTCCCAAAGAAGAGAATAACACATTTTAAAACCATAAGCCTGATTGGTCATGCAAATACCTTTTTTTTAAAGCTATTCCAGATTATTACAATTCATTATTCTTTTTTATAGATGTGCAAAAAAAAAAGAAAAGAAAGCAAAACAAAACATTGTGCTATAAAAGAACAGGTCTCATGTTTTAGCATAGCCTTTCAGAAATTAGATGAATTCTGGGACGCCCCAAACTTGAGATTTTGTTAGACAATTGCCAACGACACCCTCATAAACCAAATGGCGAATGATCTGGAAGCTGGAAAACCACATCACAGGGTCGTAGGGTGGCCAGCACCTGTGATAAAGCAAACAGCAACATTTGGTGAAAGGAGGCAACACTTCTTACTTCATACATTTTCAAACTTCCCGTATGAGCAGTTTGGGAAAACTGTGTCACCCGGCAACTCAAATTGTGGCCCAACCACAAACAATCTTGGCCTCACTGAAAGAGCGCGTCAGAAATGCAGAATCTTGGCCTCAATTCTGGCCCCGCTGAACAAGATTCCCAGATGAGTCATGCGCACCAGTGCTTGATGTAGAAATTCTCTAGACTTCTTTCTAAACCACATGCATGTGCATTGAGTTTCCCCCCTTGTTTTCTGGGTTAAATGAATAAGGAAATAGTATTTTCTTTCAAGTCCTTCAAGTTTTGCATCTCTAAAAACAAATACAGTGTAACTGAGGAACGATGCCACATCACCACGGGATAGAAATGCTAGATGTCGCGAACCCAAGCACAGAGCACCCGGCAGAGTTTGAATTTCCCCTCAACCACCAAGCATTGTTCCATAATACCTGAAACAGACCGAAGTCAAGAGACGGACTATTTGCAACAGATGCATACTAAACATGAGATTCACTTATCGATCTGAAAGTCAAATTTCACTGGGAGACAATTAGCTTGCACTGTCTCTGGCAACCCTCACTCGAAAGGCTGGGCTGGGCTCCATCCTTCTTGCTGAAACCTTTATAAGGTTTCTTCTTCGCTTTAGGTATGAGCATCGTGATGCGGCGGTTGCAAACATTGGAAAAGACCCCGGGGAGTTTCCATTAAATGCATTTCACAAGCGTGAAGGATGGGACAGAATCGCATGTGCAAAGACACGGGCTCCCAACACCCGAGTACTAACGACACAAGTTAAAAAGCGACAGCTTGATTTGTGACAGGTAATTTGTTTTGCGCTTCCATCCCCATTTACACACGAACTTAAAAACGGTTTACGTTGCTTTTAGGGCTGGCACTTCAATATGCTGCTGCGCTCCTCCCCTTCCCAGAGAAACATTTCATTCAAATGTGACTAGTCCCTTGGAGAAAATAGGATTACAGATTCAGGTGTTATTCCACAGAACAACATGATTTTGCTTCACTTCGAATGCCTGTGATGTAAAGCACCCCTCACATCCATCCATCTCCCATCTTCTCCACTCAGATGAAACATAACATGAGAAAGGACGATGGTTAGCTGGTTCTTCCCACTCTGACGCCGAACCAATTCAAATGCAATTATAATTTTTCTCCACCTATTCTCTCCTCAGCTATATGGAGGGGCTTCCAAAGTTTCTTTTTTTAAATGCCTTTCTCCCCACCCACCCTCTCTGTTTTAATACCCTGGCTTGGGTTAGGCTCACCTGAAAGTAAGCTGTCCAGGGGGCTTCTGCAGCAGGATTGCCTAGATGCAATGCACCGCTTGATTTCTCTAAGATGTTTCAGTGTGAACCGGGTGAAAGTGGACAGGGCAGCTCATGCATTTTACGGCCAGTCATTCAGACACATTTTGCTTGGGCCCCTTCCTTGCAGTTCCCTCAGCGCAGCCTCACCGATCCCCACTTCCCTCCCTGTGGTTCAGGCGCCCACGCCTCGCCTGCCCTTCTAGGTGCTGTCTTAGGGTAAACGCTACCCTCTGCATCGCAGTGGTTGATTATTCTCAGGGGTGTGTACCTCCCCAGGATGATTTCACACCCTTCCCCCCTCCGCGTCCTGCCCCCAATAACAGCACAAGGGGAACGAGCAGCTTTCTAGATAGGCTGATCATTCTCCCTGTCTTGTGCTGACTGCATGAAAATTTAGCCCACCACGGTACTAATGTTTACGCAGAAAACCACACCAACTGCTAAGTGAGCTACATAAAGAACGTGAAAATCCTCACGACTGGGCCGAGAAGAAACAGCGTGATAACTGGAGAAAAAAGTCGAAGTTGCCAAGAAATCAACGTTGCCAAAGATGCCGTTTTATTTGGCCCCACCATCACTGCCCGTGCAAGCAGTCGTCAAGAAATCAAACAGTGCAAAACACTGGGCAAAGCTGCTGCAAACGCCCTCTTGAAAGCGTGAAGGAAGCCAACCTGAGGGCTGCGGGCTTAGGTGCCCTGAACGGGACCGGAGCCAATCCCCGGACGTGCAGGTGAGAGCTGACCCAGGGATCAGGAAGACCGCAGAATGGGGCGCCCTGGGAGGATGGTATTGGGGGAATATTGAAACGATCACACACTGTACTTTACTGTTGTGGTTGCTGTTAGTCGGGTTGGCCCCAAATCGCCACCCCCCCATGTGTTACAGAGTAGAACTGCCCTAACGTGCTTTCTTGGGGCTACTCTTTAGGGGAGCAGTTCGCCAGGCCTTGCTTCCATGGAGTTTCGGGCTAGATTCCACCCCCCAGTCTTTCAGTTAGCAGCCAATTGCAAACCACTTACATCAGCCACACGAGATACCACGTATATGCCTTGTATTACTATTTTGAATTCTGGAGAGGTTGTCTAGTCCGAGAACTGGTGGGCCATTTCGTCTCCGTCCTTGCAATTCTTAGATGCGAAAAATCAATTGCCCTCGAGTCGATACGGATTCACAGCGACCCAAGATCGGGTTTCCGCGACAGGAAATCTTTATGGGAGCAGACAATCTCATCTCTCTCCTTCCTGGTGGCTGGTGCATCTCCACGCCTAACCCACAGCACCCCACCCACCCCCACCCCCGGGGCAGCGTCTGTATTTCTCAGGGTTCTAACAATTCCTAGTAAAACAATAGTGCAACCAAAGAAAAAAGAAATGACACTGTGGACTGTGTCAAAATCATGTTCTCAGCTTTCATCCTGGGAGAATGGGGCAGGTACCCTCGGACTCTTCTCTTAGACTTAGGGTGAACAAGCGGAGGGAGCGGGGCTTCCTATTTGTGCGTCTAAGAGAGGCACCCCTGGCTCTGATGTGAACAGCTGATTTCCAAAAGAAATCACAAAGCTTCTCAATGAAAAACCAACAACCCAGATCCAGAGAGGTTGCTGTCACCTGGAGGTGGGTCCCTTGGTCCTCCAGCACTTTGAACTAGGGATGTAATTCAATCAGCATGGAAGTTCTGTCCTACGACCTAACAGTGCCCTCTTCTGGTTCCAGGAGGGTTCACCCGGGATGAAAAGAGGCTTCCCTAGTAGAAAATGACAGGGGAAAAGAATTTTGAAACCTGGGAGGCAAAGTTTTAAGTTTTCCTTTCTAGGACATGAAAAAAAACCGAAACAACAAAACCCAAGCCAGAAAGTCCACGGATGGCAAGGAGTCCAGGTTGGTGACAGAGCTCCAAGCTGGAACTGTGTTGATCTCACGTTTGTCCTAAATCAAAACCACCTGGGCTTGATTGATTTTAAAATTCCAATCATTCTATTAAGTCAGGCACCTATGTCTCTAATTGACTAGAAGTGTAGCTCTAAGATGCTAAATTCTATAGTTTCCTCCTCATGCCTCCCGTCTTGAATATTTAGGGGAACAAACAATCAAGCAAGAATAAATGCACTGCCTGCTGCGGAGTGGAGTCACAGAGACCCTACAGAGGGTGTCTGAAGCTCAGGGGAACAGACGGCCTCATCTGTCATCCACAGAGCAGCTGGGGGGTTTGAATCAATGACCTGTGGTGAGCAGCCTGGTGCCTGATGCACTGGGCCAGCAGGGGCTTTAGAGACCTGTGTAAAAAATGAACGCTATAAAAATGTGACTTTGGTTCCTTAGAAAAATAAAACATTCTTGAATGCCAAACTCCCTTCTTCAGATGGATTTGCAATGGAAAGGTCTCCTGTTATCTAGGTTATCCACCAAACACAAACCTCACTGCCAGTGACTCAAGTCTGTCTCATTGTGACCTTGTAGGTCAGGGCAGAACTGCCCCTGTGATTTTTTCCAAGATTGTAAGAATTTCCAATGTATTCAAGCCTCAGCTGTCTCCTGAGGTGGGTTTGTACTACTGACCTTGCAGCCAGCAGCTCAATGCATAACCACCATACCACCAAGGCTCCTCAGGGTATCCACCAGAAAGGCTATAAGGGTGGGACTCCCCAAGGTTTCCCAGGACCCGCGCTCTGGTTTTCAAAACAGCCGCTGGGAAACAGCACCCCCTGGTGGCTCCCAAGTCAACACGCCTCTTCTCCAGGAGGGTCCACAGTTCAGGGGAGCTCTAGGGACGCATCAGCTCGCAAAGGGTCAGAAGCCGATGGTTTGTCTCTCAAGGGACTTTCCATTTAGCAAAACCACATGCTGTTGTCAATGGAAATGCCTAAACACAGAGCACATGGGTCCCGAGGAGGTGGTGCTTCGTTTGATGAGCAGTGGGGAACCAGTCTTCACAGGAAACCAGCCCCACATGGTGCGGTCTTCGAAAGCTGAGCCTCACAAAGGAATAGGCCTCCTGGAGCTGCAAAGCCTCCTTCTAGCTCATCAGAACCTCTACTAGTTGGCCTGCACTTCCTGTAGAATGTAAGTGTCTGACATTTTCTTTGACCTCGATCTCCCACAGTGTCGCCCTTGCCAGACGGTGGTGGCTTGGGTGATGCACCCTGCATGTCGGTCCCACACACCCCAGCAGTCCCCGAGGCCGGCTGGGCTCCAGCAATCTTCTGGATGTAGACAGACTAGAAAGAAGGGTCTGCCATCCACTTGAGGACATTAGCTAATGACAACCATAGGGAACGCAACATTAGGAAGATCACCACCAGGATGCTCCTTAGAAGAGAGGCGGGGAGACTTGGGCCCCGTGACTTTGAGCACGCCACCGGGGCAAGATCAGTTAGGAGCGCAGGACATGGCAGTTAGTGAAACGCAGGGTTGGAGAAGGCGAGGGAGAGACTCAGCGCGCTGGAGAAACTAACACAGTGGCGGAACCGCAACCATTGTGATGACATGAGAGTACTGGGCAAGGTTCTGCCATTACACACCAAGTCACTAAGAGTCAGAGCCAACAACAACAACAACAACATCAGCAGTAGCAGCAGCTGCAGGTTTTCGTCAGCTGAATACATCAATGGAGGGAAATACCCAATTCCCCATTGGGTCCTAGGACAAAGGCACATGATGGCATCATCCACCTCAAACCCCGCCCCTCCTCCCAGCACTCACTTCTGGAGCGCACGTAGCAGCTGTTACAGTTGAGAAGACCGTTTCGAATCCTGACGTCCGTCCCGCTGACTGCATCTCCAAGCTGTCCCTTACAAACGCCACACTGGAAGAGACAAAGAACAGCATTCCTGAGATCCGCCTGGGATGGTTTCTTCCTTTAAAAAGCACTTCGAGTTGTGGTGGTTGTTGAGCAATGACTCCTTTACGTTGCCTGGTTACTGTTCACGTGATGGCAGTAACCATCACGTCTGCGGGCTGCTGGTTTGCTGAGCATGTGCTACAGGCTGGGGGTGTGGTAGTTACATCATCTGGTGTCAATTTGGGACTTGAGAGGATTAAGAGTGAAGGGGTGGAGTCTAGTCTGTCAATCGGATCATAGCCAATGAGGCCTCTTTGTGGACATGGCCTTCTCCTGAGAATGCTGGGAATGCCTGTATTTTCTTCCTTAGAGGCGGAGACACGTCTGTCTCTCTGCTCACTCCCTTGGAGACTCTCTACTGACAAGACACAAGGCACTATGCTGATAGACCCCTTGCCCTGGGAACTGGAGGCGCCACATGGAGACCCCTGCCAGCACTGAGATGCTTACAATGGCACTGCGACCAAAGACTTCCTACCTACTGGCCTGTGGTCGTCCTGCACTCAGCATCATTGCATGTGTTTCATGAGTCTGAAGAGGACTTTATAGATTGGTATTGGACATATGGGTTAATGTCGGACTTCTGGGCTTGGACGGGACTGGGTTGGGATGCTTTCTTAATGTACAATTACCCTTTATATAAAACTCTCTTACACACATATGAGCTTCTATGGATTTGTTGCTCTAGTCTACCTAGACTCACACGGGGCTCTACCACCAGCTGAGTCACAACAATACACTCTGGACTTTATCCCAACTCCTTTGCTTTTACAGAGGGGGATTTTGGTTCAGAGGGCGGTTAGGCTATAAAGTTAGTAAGTGGGGTTGAGTTTACTTGACTGCAATAACCACTGCCATCAAACTCTCTCTATCGAGGTGGGAGTGCCATTTCAAACCGAGCAGACCCTGGTGGTTTTCAGTAAACCCAAGGCCAGTGAATTCCCCATCAAAAAACTTGTCTGGGAAGAATCTTGCAGATGCTCTGCAGTCGTGCACCAGAGCAGAATCATTAGGCAGTAACTATTCCACTTGTCCTTTCCACACAGAAAGCAGTGGTACCCAGAGTAAGAGAGGCGGAAGGATCCATCATCAGGCGATACCTGAGAGGGAGGCAGTGGCAGTTGGCCAAGTTGCCAGGCTCTTGTTGAGGGATCAGGAGCCAGCTCAAAAGCCATGTAGGACCAGGAACAATTTCATTCATGGGATGCTATAAGCTGTCACTATGTGGCACAGGTGGGCAATCAATCTAGGGAGTCACCTTAAAGCATCTGAGAATAAAGGTCTTGACCACTAACAATGCCAGTGTCCTATCCCTGGAGACTCAGCAAAGACCCTTCAGCACGTCCGTGATTTCTAACTTTGGTGAAACCTCTGAGAAGAGAGTGTGGTGTTGGAACGCAGCATCTGGGCTGTACCACACACTTTTCCTGGAGCCCCCAAACCCCTCCCAGACAATGCAGGATACACATCGGCCTGGTTCATTTCATAGTGTGGCCACCAGTGACCACACTGGTGATCTTAAAAGATCACCACATTGGTGATTCCATGAAAACGAAGTGGAATTTAGGAAATGGAAAAGTATGGTCTCCTTCTAACAGGCTGGGTATGTGGACTCAGTAAGTATTCACACTGTGGATATATTTTACTTTTCCCAGGTTGCTGATATTATTAAATTCTGTGATTTGGAGACAATTGTGCCCGCTTTCATCCAGCACGCAGGCAAAGCGGGAGTCATCTTTTAACCCTCACATGTCTTACTTTCTAGCCTCAGGAGCTACAATTAGGACATTGAAACAGCCAAGAAGGTGGGCGTTCCCCAAAGGACACATGCCCACGTCACACACAGCAAGAGGTGGCTCTTCTTCAGTGCTGCAGGGTTTGGCGTCAAAAATCCCTCATTGACTTGAAATGGGTTACTGAATCGAGAAAAGGCAGGAGAGACTGATAGGATCGAATGCATACATTTAATCACGAACTGAGCATAACTAACTGGTTAGCTGACCTCCTTCTTAGGCCTCCTCACTCGCAGTCTATTCATGGATTTCTTCCCCAGACTGTAGCATGGTGTTTTGTTAGGTACAGCAGCAAGGGTGGCGAGCAAGGCAGACAGGGCCCTCGCTTCATGGAGAGGGGAGCTGATGGGAAGAGACAGCTGATCCTTAAAGAATTTAGTCGGCAGTGAGAAGGGCCATGGAACTTTTAGGGCTGTGTCACAATGTGTCACTTAGTTTGAGTGAGCAAGGCAGGTTCTGGGAATGAGACATTCGATCTGAGACCTAACATTTGGTAGCTGGTTATAACCACATAGTTGGCAGGCAAATCTTGCATGGAATCAAAAACTAAATGCTCTCAATGTTAAGTCATAGGATTCAAGAAGCAGCAAAGGTAGTGTACTTCCAATCGATCCACAGGGCCCTGAAAGACTCGCCAGGGTAGCAGTCCCAGCTCTCTGCCACAGCGTACTGTCGTGAGTGACATCCATTACACCAGTGTGTCTAGCCGCTTCCCAACCAACATCCCAGCGCAAGGTATGGTAGGAGAGAGTCTTCTAAAGGTTAGACCCCACCCACTTCTGCACAACCCAGGCAAAGAGCTCCAGGGTTTCTGGGAGGTATTCTGCAGCACAAGGGTACCGAGCGAGACCAGTAGTTGCACTCCGTGGGAAGAGTGATGAGCACATACCCTAAAGCACTGGATGTGGAAATAGAGATTAAGGGTCTCAATGATCATCGCGGCTCCTCTCCCCAAAGCAAGGCCACAGGAAGAGCACAGCTTCTTCCCACTGATAGACCTAGATTAAAATTCAAGTGTCAGTTTACAGCAGTTGGTCAAATACACATCTGTATAACCTCACGCAAACAACAAGAAATAGGGAATTCTGAAAGGCTTGCTGCTAGAAGCTGCAGGGCATGCTTCCTTCTGTCATACTCCAAACTCACTGCGTCCATGCTGACCCTTTGGGTCTCAGAGACTGGGACTGTGGATGGGAGGAGGAAGCCTCGTGTTTCTCCCGTGGAGCTGACTGGTGGTTTCAAATCGCTGACCATGCTGATCCCAGCCCGAGGAGGAACCACGACACCACCAGGGCTCCTTGTTCTGAAAGGCGTACTGCTAGCAGTTCTTATTTCCACAGGTCACACACTTACATCACAGATGAAAAGAAAAGTATGGAGCTGATAAATGACAGTAAATGAATTATTCGATAGAGGTGGCAGACTAAATCCAATAAGGCTCCCGTGTGGGGTTTGCATTTGGTGAGTGTGTGTGTGTGAGTGAGTATATAAGTGGGGGATCCAGAAAGCTCTGTGGAATAAAAAGGTAGTGGGATTTTCTTGTGAACTTTTTGAAGGTCCTCATGGGTGGGTGTGTAAGTGATTTGTTCCAGGCAGTTTGAGTTGCAGTCTCGAGATGATGCCGAGCATGTATTATGTTTTCATAACCCCTAAGAGATCAGTAAGTTTAGCTTCACTGAGCTTTCAAAGTTCCTTTAAAATTAGTCATCAATAGCTCCTTGGTGTACCAGGGCATGTCTTTTTACTTGTTAAGAAGAATGTTTGTTTGTTTTCTAAAGAGAATTGTTATAAAATAGAGCACAGTTACCAGGCAGAGAGGGGACCCGATCCCTAAGTCCCAGGGATAAATCCTTGCTCCCTCATCAAATTCCATCATGTGACAGAAAGACGTCATCTCGGGTTTCCCGTTTGCCTTTGAAATGAGGCGTCTGGACTTCATGTTCTCTCTGACCTCCTCCAGTGTAAACACACGAGAAGTCTGTGATTTGGGCGCTTGCCACTCCTGGTTTTCAGTTCCTGGAGGGCTTGGGCTAACTCTGTCTAAGCTCTGAATCCCCACAGGCCCGGCCAGTGGCTGAGAACCGAACCCTCTATCCAGCAGCCCCAGGTACAACGGCAGGGTCACCAATCCACCCGGAACGAGAAGGCTGTCCTGTTCAAGCAGCGGCACAGGCCGCCCAGGGGCTGCAAAGCTTTTGGAATTATCTTAAAAGGAAACCCTTAGGCTGAGCATTGCCACTTGAACATCAGTGTGGCACAGAGAGGCAGGAGTCCAGCCAGGAAGACAAGAAAAAAGGGAACTGGAGAATCCCCCAAGCAAGCTCTATGTTTTAGAAGTTCCTCATATCCTGTAGTCACACGACATGTCTGCATCAAAGAGACTCCCAAGCATCCCATGGTTTGTTTCCTGGGAGAATGGAAATCCAGGCAGTTTTTAAGAATTCATGTCCAGAAGCAATCGTTAGAGAGCTGGCGTGGGTTAAAAGAGAAGTTTGAAATTTCTTTTCTTAGCCTCTGCCTGGTTCCTTTGGTGGGTCCTTCCCAGAAACCCTGGGCTGGCTTGGAGGGAAGGGTACTGCGCGAGGAGCCAAACCAGTGTCTGGGAGATTTGATGACTGGATTGCAGGTTCCACACAATATCATTAAAGCCCTGTGGCCACAGCCGTGCCACGTCACACTCTCCCCTTTTCCTTTTGTGGCCTGAAATCAGCAGGCAGACGGGAACATCTTTATATCTGTGTGTGTGTAGAAGCCTAGGTGGCACAGTGGTTATGGATCAGGCTACTAACCAAAAGGTCAGCCATTTGAAACCATCAGCTTCTTGGAAGGAGAAAGATGAGACTTTCTACTCCTGCTAAGAGTTACAGCGTCAGGAATCCAATGGGCCAGCTCCATCCTGTCCTATAGGGTTGCTATGAGTTGGAATCGACTGGATGGCAGTGAGTTTGGTAATTTTGGTGTGTGTGTGCATGTAGAGAAAGAGAAGGAGAGGGGAGGGTAGAGGAAGGGGGAAAGGGGAGGGGAGAGGAAGGGGGAGAGGAGAGGGGAGAGGAGAGAGGAGAGGAGTAGAGGGGAGGGGAGAGGAAGGGGGAGAGGAGAGGGGAGAGGAGAGAGGAGAGGAGGAAAGGGGAGGGGAGAGGAAGGGGGAAAGGGGAGGGGAGAGGAAGGGGGAGAGGAGTGGGGAGAGGAGAGAGGAGAGGAGTAGAGGAGAGGAGAGAGGAGAGGAGGAGAGGGGAGGGGAGAGGAAGGGGGAGAGGAGTGGGGAGAGGAAAGGAGGAGAAGAGAGGGGAGGGGAGAGGGGGATGGGGAAGGGGGAGAGAGTGAGAGCCAGCAGAGCTGTGGATGGATGGGTATCTGGCTCACGATTGTTTGGCCCATCTGTCCGGACTCAGTTGTAATTAAGCTTGCCAGACTGTAGTTTGATACAGCCACGGAGCCTTAGGACATACCTGTTTGGGGACTGCCCAGGAGGAGTGGGAGAGCAGGGAGACAAGTGTCCAGCCTGGAAGTTCTCTTGAGGACTTATCCTATGGTGGGTTGAAGAAGTCAACAATTATGATGAGGTTAGAGATGCCCTATCCACAGACAGTTTCAGTAAGAAAAGCCAATTAAGGACACAAGGAATCATAACCTAGCCAGTATTACACGTGTTGGTGACCTAAGAGCAAACCCAGGTTGGCGTAGTTGCACGGAAACGGTAAATTATGATTTAAATCTTTACTTTGCCGATAGTTCCTTGGAGTTAAAATTGCTGGGATGTGTTTCTTTTTGCTTGTTTGTATGGGAAGGCAGGTAGACAAATGGCGGACTGGGGGAAAGATAAGCAGGGACTCACAGACAAGCTCCTTGCCTGGAAATAAGTGGCAGAGCTTCAAGGAAGTGTTTTCTACGGACACCGCTTCCTTCTCCATCAGCAATCCACTACGGATTACACGTGATGAGAGGGATGTCAACAATATTTACAACCCCTACGTCATGGGCAACCCTAGGCTCAGAATGGCCTCCAACCAAGGCTCCTAGAATGGTTGTCCAGTGCTCTCCGCTGCCCACGCTCTGCCTGTGATTAAGCCATCAGTTCTAGGCTCTTGCTCCCAAGCCTTCGTTCGCTGATACAGAAAGGGGTAGAAGAGAAGAAGAGGAGAGAGACACAGCACCCTAGGCACACACAGAGACTGAGTCCATCTGTCTTCTAACTGTTTTCATCATCCCTCCCTGAACCCCTGCCCTTCCAAACCGCCGCCCCCTTCTTCTTTTGCATTTCCATGTCAGACACTAAATGACAGGTAGCCCTGCTTTTAAAACAAGGTCAGAAGTAGCTGTTAGGATCACTGACAATGACTTCGATGCTATTTTAGCTTCTGTGCATCCCGGGCATCCCAGAGACACAGAGAACCTGAATGGACATAAGCAATACTGGGCAAAGGATTCCAACACTGTTTTCAGAAACATCACAATGTAATGAGAAGCCAAGACAGAATTGCGTATTTTTCTCTTACAAATAAGTTACTCTCATCATTGGCATCACCATTATCCTATCATCATTCCTTCTATGAGGAGGCTCTAAAAAGTTCGTGGAAAAAAATGGAATTGAAAGATAATGGAACGTTTCCCTGAACTTTCCGCACAACCCTCCTGTACAGCATTTACTAATTGCCAGGCCTCTTCCCATTTGACAGCTGAGGAAACTGAGGCATGCATTGCTCAGTCACTACGCGGACAGGTGGCAGAGGCAAAACATGACCCCAGATAATTGGCTCATTACAATGACTTTTAAAATATAAAGATATTTTTGAACCTTCGGCTCCAATACGATCTCATTGGGGAACTGTGGGTTCATTTCCTTTCCCCTTTGGGGTAAGTTCTGTAACTTCCTTGAACCTCTGTTTCCTCACTGAAAATGGGAGCCGTGACCTCAAAAAGCTCCCAGGAGGGTCAGCCCAGTGAGTCAGCACGGGGAGAGAGGAACGCAGGCACACGCTTTCCTGTTGGTGATACTGAAATGCTTAAATATGATGAGTATTGTTATTTTTTAAACTTGCCATTCTCATCCCTTCTCGGCCTTTTTGCCTAAGATCAAGTGTGGTAAAACGTATCACTCTTACAAAATTAGAGCACCGCCTACTGTAGCTCCCTTAACAGGAAAGCTTGATAATGGGAAAAAGCCATACTTTTCCCGGAAACAACATTTGTCAGTAGGCTCTGGGACAACTTAATTCCTAATAACCAGATTGAGCTCCAATAAACTCAGATAACTTACAGAAATACAAGTCTTCAGATTCCTCTTGTGGGTTAAAAGCTATTCGGGGTGAACATTTAATTGCCAGCAGTGCTGTCCCGCCTCCTCTAACTACCTTTTTACCTGGACAATAAGAGTAAAGGAAGAGAGGGCCCAGAGGTGCTGCGGACAGCGGCCATCTCACCCGTATGTGTCTGTCCCTCCTCAGTCCGCACATCGGACAAAGCACACTGCCTCCTCCTTATTTGGTTACTCACTTCCGCCTTCCGCGTGGAGACCCCATCTGGGGGTTCATGCTTTTGTCCAGTGGGAGGGATCTTGGCTTCACGTCTCTCGACATGGGTGCAGGTGCGTTTACTACTTGCTGGTCCCGGGGTGGATCTGGAGCCAAGCAAAGAGCGCAGACTTAGGGTGCAGTCCAGGCACCTCGTCGCTGGGAGTACTGCTCAGTACGTCCCCTTCCTTCTAAGTGCTAATGCTGGCCGGGGTCTCACTCAGATTTCATGTCCCCCTGGGCACAGGAGGACAGGAGCACCCAGCTTAGTCACTGCACTGTGGGTCAGTCCTAAGAACTGACCTCTGGTGTCATAGTAGCAGCAACACCCTAAAAAAGATGGACGTTCTATTCCATTGTCCAGAACGCAGATTCAGGGGGCGAGGTGGGGGGCAGTTCCTAATGCACAGAGGGGAGCAGTTGTGTTCTCTGACCCGTGGACCATGCTGTTGTAACTACACATTTCACCCCGGGGCTGGTCTCTCCATTCTTACCCTGAGATGGCCGTGGGCTCATTTCCCCGAGTGGAGTTCCAGCTTCAGTCTCCAGCTGCTGCTCCGGATGGGCTCCTTTGGGTACTGGGTTCTCAGAATGGGCCGGGACCTCTTGAGTTGGGCTGTTGAAACGAATATACTTCAGAATCAAGGCAGTGGAGCTCAACTCATTAGCGCCACTGCTTAAGGCAGGGCTCATTATGACATTTAAATCAACGACCCTCTTTTCCTTTAGTCTTTTAGGGTTAAACTGGATTGGAAAGGGACTTGAACTATGGTTAAATGGCACCCCTTGCCCCTATTCGTCAACTTAACCAGCTCAGGAAAGCATCATTTCTGTTGGTCTCTTCATCTCCCATCCAGGAAACTCTTCATTCCAATCACTGGAAGAGATGCCGGAGCGACTTGACATCTCCTTGATTTTCACATGAGATTTGGCACTTTACTGTACAAGCCACGGGGCCACCTGGGACCCTGGCTGCCCAGGCTACTTCACTGGCCTCTTAGCAGATCCTGATTGCAGAGGAAGGAGGGATGGAGGGGCTGAAAGGAGAGCTGGTGCTCACACGGGTCCTCTGCAGAACTGGCCGACATCCATGCTAAACATGTCTCGGCACCTTTCCAATCTTCACGGCCTGCAGCTTTGATTTCATGAAACCGACGGCCCCTTTAAACTGTGTTCAGTCCACATGCAGTGTTCTGCAGTGTCTAGACCTGGATGGATTCCAAGCTCCAATAACCCCGTCGTCTAGGTGGTGTTCACGGGAGATTTCTCAGAGCACAGTCCCAGCAGAAGAGCTCAGCTCCCCGTCAATCTTGCAGCTAGGCCGGTCTTTGAAAATGACACTTACGTAGCCTTTTGTGGCTTTGAGTCGCTATGAGGATGCTCTGTGTGTGTGTGTGTACTCATGCCTGCAGGTGCAGGATGCACACAAATGTCAACATCTACCAGATTATCTCAGAGCCAGGTGTGAAGAAAGATCCAGAGGCAAAATACTGTCTTATTAGAAAAAAAAAATTGGTGGACTCTAGCGCTCTGGATGGTCCAGCCATTTCTGAACACCCTGTTCAGCTCTCCCAGGGAACATATCAGAATGACCCACCATCACCCATGGTTTGGCGTCTATCCTTTCTGCTGTCATCTACAATCAACGTGACTCTCACCGCTCATTCAGCTGCTGCTACTGGCAAAGTTTGGGGTGACACAAAACTGGGGTGGGATCCCAGGGTCTCATTTTCATCCCTCTTCCTCCCCCTCCCTTTAACCTTGCAGATCCCTGAGATCTAGGTTTCAGATGTGAATGAATAACACGCGCCTTTGCTCATGTATACAATCTCGCTTAATTTATTTTTATTAATATGAAAACAGACATGCCCACACATTTGCCAGCACAGCTTCTACATTTGAAATCTAACGGCACTGGTCCCATGGTGCATGCTTGGAACCAATGATTCACCCTCATTTCCAAACTAGTCTACCTCCATTAACATAAACCCCAAGGCTCCTTAGCAAAAACTCCATCTCTCCTTATTAAAAAAAGAAAGGGCTTCTTCTATTTAAAAATAAACCTATTTATATTCCCTCTCTCAAGGACACTTACTTCAGAGCTATTAGGTTGTGTCTGAGAAATATGCACTGTATTACTGGAATGATGATTTCAAAGCGGAATATGATTTGCATTCACAATGGCTTCCCTTCCTGGGAGTGACCGGGCAGAGCCTGGTGGGAAGGCGGGTCCTGGCTCCTACCTCCTCTGTTCCTCAAGGGGATCGCTTTCCCTGTCCTTCGGCAGCAAGTCCTTGTCCTCCTCCGGGAACGGCTTCTCCTGTCTTCCCTCGTGCTCGTCCTCCAGACAGCGCTCCAAGTCCATCTTAGTCTGAGGGAAGAACAAAGATCATCCTGAATAGAAGACCCATAAGATACCTTGTCAATGATGTGGCCTACGGTGAAGCAACAAGAGCCAGGGTGAAATCATCCTTAGTTGTTCAAATTAACCGAATAACAGCTGATTCCAAGGAGAGAGAATAAATGTCTCCGCGGCATCTTTCTCATAATGAATGACAGATGTGCATCTATTGAAAATCTTCTCTTTAAAAAACGAGGGAAGTCACAAGACTACCTACTTCAGGACATGGCTTTCAATATCCCTGGGTGCTAGAATCCAAGTCCCTGGTGGGGAAAACGCTTGACTCTCTGCCATTAGCCCATAAGAAGAACTCCCTGCCATCTGCTTCCAGCTCAGGGTGACCCAACAGGACAGGGTAGAACGTCCCCTGTGGTTTTCTGCGATTTTGACTCTTCCTGGGAGGGAAAGACTACTGAAGGGGCCATGAATGTCCAAAAGAACAAACAAATCTGCCTTGGAAGTAGTAAAGCCTTAGAAGCTCCTCAGAAGCAAAGATAGTGAGACGTTGCCTTGTCTACTCTGGACGTGTTGTCAGGAGAGACCAGTCCTTGGAGAAGGACATCGTGTTGATAAAGGACAGGGGCAGCGAAAAAGAGGAAGGCCCTCACGGAGATGGACTGACACCGTGGCTGCAGCCATGGGCTCAAACCTGAGAGCACTGGTGAGGACTGGGCGGTGGCTCACACTGCTGAACCCAGGGTGGCTGTGAGTCAGCATGGGCTTATCGGCACCTAACAGCAATACAAGATTAACCTAAAGGCTGACAGTGTAAACCCCGCCCCCTCGGGTAGGGAGGGTGTGATGATTGATTTAGTTCCATAAAGACTACAGCCATGAAAGCCCTTTCAAGCAGTTCTACTCTGTAGCAATCGGGGTGGGTGGGTATGTATTGGAATTAATTTGATGGCAATGGTTGATGGCTCATCCGGATCTCAGTATACTGTCTGTCTAGTATTTCTATGACCCCAATTACAGGACATAGATGCAGGCCAGGCTTCCTTTCCAGCACCCTAAGACAGACTTAAGGATCTCTGGAGTGTGATGGGTGACACATTAGGCTGCTAACCGCAAGATCAGAAGTTCAAAACCACCAGCTTCTCTGCAGAGCAAAGATGAGGTTTTCTACTCCTCTAAAGCTCGACAGCCTGGGATACCCACAGAAGCAGGTCTACCCTGTCCTCTAGGGTCACCGTGAGATGGAATCAACTTGGTTTGCAGTAAATTTGGCTTGTGATTAAGAAAGACTTAAAGTTCATTTAGTCTAGTCATTCTCAACCTGTGGGTTGCA